ATATAATCTTTTCATCGAATATCATCAGTGATTGCGATTTATACTTACTTCGGACATAACGACGAAAACATTATTTTGTCCACGATATTTGGCATATAATAAGTGGGTATAGGTGACAAACGGATATGTCCTTCTTCGTCAATCATAGGTGGATATATACCGGCCAGAACCAGTTGCAACGACATTTTTGTTCGATCGACATCCGAACTATAGGCATACACACTGCCAAATGTATGGTGACCACCTAAAAATTTACTATACTTTGCTCTTAACAACGCACCAAGCTGAAACTCTCTTATTTTCCCTTTCTAAATAGGAAATAGAAAAGATAAAAAATAAATGTTTAATAATGAAAACTTATCAATTGAATGCAAAATTTTCCATTGATTTAACGAAGAATTAAAAGTGGTTAAAATATACTTACATCGGTTAATTGGCCATAACCAAGTGACTCGTAAATAGAATTATAAGGTGCTTTAGGATATATTTCTAATTTGCTTGGTGTCCGGTCGCCGTGTCTAAATATCTGAAAATTTTTAGGGAGGATCATTGAAATCATGGAATGTTAATGAATAGAAAATATCAAGTGCACACGCTATCCAAAGACTATTTTTAAAAAAAAACTACTTTTCATCATTTCACACGTTTGTCAACGATAATTAAACAAAATAATATTCTGATAATTATTTTTTGTTCTCCATTCGATAAAATATTGAAATCAATTTATTTCGCATTGATTAATGGTCAAAAATAGAATTTTATTATACATTATCATTGATAATTCTTTTTGTATTTTTACAAAAAAAAAACAAATTGTCTAATAATAATAAAATCATTCACGGATCGCTTATATACGATGATTACTTACGATTGTTTAGGAATGCGATGAAATATGAAGATTTATCATTGTAGAAATAAAAATGAATATTACTTTAATATTTTAGCGATTGAATGTATAAGATAGGATATAAACGCGATAGATAGAATAGATTCGTTATCAAAAATATAAAAAAACACATGTCATAAAATAATTTTGTGAAAAACATTTTAAATAATCGATTTTTTTTATAAGAAACATTTGAAGATAAATGTGTTTAAAAAGTGAAAACATTATCTACATTTTGAAAAACATAATTTCTAATAACGTTAAGATTATTTTAATCGAATATAATCAATTTTTTTTTTAATAAATTTCTAAAAATTGTTCAATCAAATTTGGGTCAAATGCACTAGATGCACTAATTTAACTATTTTATGAAATGATACAAATATACTTACAATGTGCACAGATTCCAATGTGTATTTATCCTTGTTATTTGTCGAGGAACAAAATTGTAACAATAGATTTAAAATTAAAATTATTTGCAAATATCTTTCTTTATCAGCCATTTTTCGCGTTAATATTAAAACTTTTAAAATAATAACATTTAAATCAATGTCATGAAATTAATAGAAAAAATTAATAGAAAAAAAAGTTATTTTTTTTTTTTTTTTATAGAAAAAGTGTAATGCTTACTTCTCACCTGAACGAGAAGCACTATTTATTTTAACGAATGTAATGATATTTATAATTCATATAAAGATAATAATTCGAATAAGCGAAAGGAAAAGGGGAAGATAAATCGGACGAAGATAAATTAATATCAAAATATATATGTATATATATATATATATATATATATATATATATATATTGTGTATATATATATATGTATATATAAATATCAAGATTAAAATGTTTCCATATCTTGATATAAGTAATAATTCATTTAAAGAGGAAGATTCGATAAATTAAACAAATGATATAACGAACAAATAATTTTATAATCTAGTAGTAATAACTATTAATTATTATCTACAATATGTATTTCTTATTTTTTTTAATAAATATAATAGAGTTCTATCACACTTTCTTTTTGTCTGTTCGAGATATATCGAGTCTATGAATTTTTATTTTTAATATGTAAAAAAAAAAAAAAAAGAAAAATCTCATAAAAATCAATTATTGATTGATAATATTAAATCATTATCGTCTTAAGTATTTACAACAGCAGATGGTATTTATACATTTCACTGGAATTATTTTTGATATTATATTCAAGAAGTTTATAGTTTTTTCATTAGTGTAATATTTCAACATTGTTGAAAGTTCATAAGCGATGAAGCAATTAAAATAATAATTTTTTTTTTATCAATCCTATTTATACTTTATTCATCCACCTTTAAGCAAGATGAATTTTCAATTGAATTTTTAATCTATTCTTGATATAAGGCTTAAATTGGCTTAAGAATATGGATTAAGAAATCGAGCATGTTCGAGCGTTTAAAAAAGCAGTTAAAAATAAATTATCAACGACAAGATAAATATTTATTTCTAATGTTAGTTATATTCGTTTAAAAAATACGAAAATCAAAAGATAAATGGGAAAATGAAAATTCATATGTCGACATTTTACAAAATTGAAATTAATAATTATGCTTAATTAAAATATGCTAATTCTTAAAGATATTAGACAATACTAGATTTTCTAGAACAAATATCTTTCTTTCTCTTTACTTAACCTTGATGAGATGTGTTTTTTTACATTTTAAAGTTTACGTCCAATCATTTTCGAGAAGAGTTTTCGTTCAGAAATCGCGACATCTGATTGGCAATTTTAACAATTATTTTTCTGCAAAAAATATTAGATAATACTAGATCTTCTAGAGCAAATATCTCTCTTTCTCTTTACTTAACCTTGATGAGATGTGTTTTTTCACATCTTAAAGTTTACGTCCAATCATTTTCGAGAAGAGTTTTCGTTGAGAAATCGCGACATCTGATTGGCAATTTTAACAATTATTTTTCTGCAAAAAATATTAGATAATACTAGAAATATTAGATAATACTAGCTCTTCTAGAGCAAATATCTCTCTTTCTCTTTACTTAACCTTGATGAGATGTGTTTTTTCACATCTTAAAGTTTACGTCCAATCATTTTCGAGAAGAGCTTTCGTTGAGAAATCGCGACATCTGATTGGCAATTTTAACAATTATTTTTCTGCAAAAGATATTAGATAATACTAGATTTTCTAGAACAAATATTTCTCTTTCTCTTTACTTAACTTTGATGAGATCTGTTTTTTCACATCTTAAAGTTTACGTCCAATCATTTTCGAGAAGAGTTTTCGTTCAGAAATCGCGACATCTGATTGGTGATTTTAACAATTATTTTTATGCTCGATTTTTCACTTTCGTTGCAGAATAATCGGAAAAATTTATTTTTAATGTGATATTTGTTCACGAATAGAATGATTTTCACCTTCTTGTCGTATTATTGTTTTGAAATCGTAATATTTATGAATTTAAAATTTATTCCAATATTTTATTCCAATATTCATTCATGAATAGAATAATTTTCACCTTCTTATTGTGTTATTGTTTTGAAATCGTAATATTTGTGAATTTAAATCGTTCGAATTGTATCATATGTAATATTGTATCATATGATAATGCATCATGCGTTTTGTGCTACTCGATATATTTTTTCCAATGTCATTTATCATTTATTTGTTGCATGACACCGATTACGCAATTCCATTCATATATAAAATCATATTATAATCAATTATATCGAACAGATTTGAACGAATATATCACGAAACATTTTTCAATGTTTTTTTCATCGTTGGTCAATTTTGTCAAACAACAAAGCAACTTTTGATTTACCTTCCGAGTCGATCATTTTCAAAGTCGCTCTTATTTTCACAATATCGATCAAGTCGAAACGACTTTTAATTAATTCGAGAAAAAATTGTCTGTCTTATTTATTATTTTTGATTGGACAATTTAATCGTTCGATCGTGCACAACGATAAAAAAATGATAATAATAATTGTTGAACCATATGAATCGATACATTTATTTTTAGAAAAAAGAAAAAACGTTTTCGGATCGATAAAATAATATGATCGAAAATTTCGATATAATTATTCTTATAATAAATTTATATAATATAACAAATGGATCAAAAACATTTTTCCATGATTAAAAATAAAAAAATTTATTTCTTAGCAAATTTGAATAAATTTTTTAACGATTGAAATTATATTTTTATAGTTTTCTTTTTCTTATAAAACTGTTACGATTTTGCAAAATGTAACTTTATGAAATTTATTTTTTTTAATTACGATTAATTGCTCGACATTTAATAAAAAAATTAAAGTTTCTTAACACGTATGAAACGTAATGTAATGATATATCAAATACTCTTTACCGAAAGTTTATAATTAATCATATCATGATGAACGATACGTGATCGTTGGAATGATGATATTACACGCTCGACAGTTTCTTACATCGTTACATAGTTGTATCACGAGTATTGAACTATGCGAGATAGATCTGCGTATAAAGATAAAATGTTATTCAGTCATAATAAGAAAATCTCAATGAAAATTTAAGATCGCAAAATTAAATTCAAAAATACGGCATATTAGAGAAGAAATTAAGAAATTAGTCATTTTTATATCTTATTATGTCATATTTACAATCCAAGACCTTTCTGATCCATCGTCAAATGTTACGCAAAAACCGTAACCGTGTTCTTTTTCCCACTCTTATTCGTTTAATTTGATCGATATTGAATAAGTGTAAAAGTAATCGTGAAAATTCAAAAGAAATAACGAAAGTTTTAAGATATTTATATTTTAATTTTTTTTGAAATTGATATTTCGAGAAATTAAAATTTTCTCGAATAATTTGAAATTTATGTATATCAAATGATGCAATATCGCTATTTGTAATGCAGTTTTCATTTTTATTCGATATGCTTCGCTACTATCGCTCGAATATAAGGAGAGGGGGAGAGAGAGGAAAAAAAAGTGAAAATTTTTATTCATTTGTTCAATGAAAAATTTAACTCGTTCAATAATCTATTGATTCGATTCGAAAATGTGAAAAATGTAAAGTACAAAAGATATATTTATTTTTTTTCAATCGGTATTTATTATTCAAAAAGATCTACGATGGCAACTAGCAAAACAATATCGGAAACTCAGGCCACCTATTATCCACCTTCGTTAATGCCACCTTTTATGGGCGCTTATCCACCGACCAAGTTGGGTGTCTCTTTATTCGAGGGTGGAAAGATAGGTTACTTTCAAAATTATAGAAACGAAACATTATCAAAATTGTCGGTAAGTTTTCTTCTTCTCAAAAGAGAATATTACGTTACTAACATTATTTCTATCTAATCGATGATTCGTGAGAGAAAAAAAATTTAATTTTCAATTGTTGCACAAATTTTATAAATGATTCTTTGTTTTGTCATATCTATATATTTTTCTAACACACGAAAGAAACGATGGAACTTCGATACACGTGAATGTAAATAAAAATATTTAGCAGTGAGTTTTTTAAAATTTCTCCTTCGCTCACTCTCGTATCTCGTGGAAAGATACGGATACTTTCAAACAGATTTGAAAAAACAGAATAAAAATAATTAAATATTAATAATGGTATCTAAGAATATATCAATAAATTTGATAAACGAAAGAAATATTCATGATTAGTAAACATTTGCACTATGAACATCTATTATTCTCCTATCGCTCGTAGATGCCATCGTACGAATGGGGAATGCAGAAAACTCCGTACAGTCCAAGACCTGAAATCGTCGCGGACACGATGCGTCGTAGCATTAATCGTAATTTAATGGTGCAGACGAATGACATCTCCACGATCGATCAAAAGCGCATGAAGGAAATTGATGATCTGTTCAAAGTAAATAGATTATATATAATTCGTTTACATTTTAAATGTATAATTTTGCGATTGATTAGTTTTTTCCCTTTACGATAATATTTACGAAATTACGATAATATTCGAATTAATTAAATCGTTCGTTCCGAAAATCATTTCAAATGTACGTTTAATCGAACGAAACGATCGGTCTGTGCCACGGACTGTTCTGTTCGCCAATCGTTATTCAATACGAGTCTATCGGGTATGAAAGTTTATTTGACTCGTTGACACGTGATATATAACATAATGTAGGTATTGAATTTATTGCATTCGACACATGGAATTTTGTGCAATGCTTTTATGTACGTGTATGTTTCGATTCGTACGAGATTTTCAATTTTTATTATATATAATCTTTTCTATAATGTTGATTTTTTCTTTTATTATTGATTCATAATAATAGAAAAGAAAGGAAAAAAAAAAAAAGTTTGGAAAGATTTTACTCGATATCGCGTTTCTTTAAAATATTCATCGAGTTCGATATTTTTCCAGTTTCCGTATTATCGATCTAGCTGGCGATAATTTTGAAGAAAATAAGTGTCGTTTCAGCAACTGCGTTACACGTTTGAAGAAAGATGAGTTATTCTTGGAAAAAATCTATATCGTATATCTTTTCTCAAACTTTCTTTATCCACTTTTCTCTAGACATTTCCAGTCTTCTCTCTTTTTTTCCTGAATTTCTGCTCTCTACCTTCAAAGATTTTTCCTTCGCCCCAGTCTTGGAAATACACATGTGCTGGCTGTTCCTACCAAATAGTTGGCGCGTATGCAAAAGGATTCTGTTTTATCTCAGCTTTTCCTCTTCCGATATATATATTTTCTCTATCTTCATATTTTCTTCCTCAAATCTTATTTAAACTTGTTGATTTTCTTCTTTTGCCATTCAACGATCCACAGTCTCGATTCTAATTCCTTATCGTTAAGATTATATCATTTAGGTTAGGTTAAAGTAAATTAGTTATCGTAAGTCGTTGAATCGTTAAAACTCGACTCGAGATTACATTTAAATTTATATCACGTTTGTTTTTACTTTTTTTTTTTTAAGAAGAAAACTTTCTGTAATTCTCGAGAAATTAAAAAAGTATCGTATCTTTTCACAGATAGTGCAACTTCAACGTAGCACGTACAAGGACCGTACCGGTACTTTCCATCCTTTAGTGTTCTTTACTTCCGATGAATACGAGTATCAATGTGCACCAGGAATGACGTTATCGTACATCTTTAAATATCCAATGAATTACATCGAATACAAAATTCCAACAGTTTTGCCTCTTACGTACGAAAGAAGGAAACAAACGCCATATATTCCAGACTTGGCTCTTACCGGGATATATGATAAAAAAGGTTGCATCGCTTATAAACGATGAGCGTCAACATATTTATTCATTGATATTGTGTAAATCAAGTTACGTGTATTATTCCATTAAATAATGTAAAAATGTACATATGTTAAAAAATTCGATACATATTGTTTCGTTTATATAAATATATGTATTCTTTGAGCAACAAATTTATTAATCTCTTTTTTATCTATCTCACTATTAATCGCAGCTAGACATTTATTTTATCGTCATACAGATTTATTTTATCGTCAATTTAAGATAGTTAGATTAAGTACAATTAAAAGAAAATTATACTATAATAGAAAAACTTGTTAGAATGTTTTAGAAATATACATAGTTATATTTATCATTGAAAAATATATAATTTTCATAGTCAAATTGACGAGATATTAAAGAAAAATATTTTTTCGTTCTCAAATTCGAAAGGCTGTTTTCACGTCCTAGATGTGGACGATTGCCAATAGAAGAAAAGGTATAAAGTGTAAAATGTTTTTTGAAAAACAACTTTCTCGAAAAATTCGCATCGAGCCCAGGGATCGGTGCATAGATCCATCCTTGTATCAAAAATAAACGATAATCCCGATTCGAATGGAATTAATTCGCGACAATACCTTTTTGAAACTGTTACATAATTGTTAGTTAATTATGTAATACGTGATATGGACGCGTACGAAATTCCAGGTATAAAGTTATTCGTTTGCTTTGATACGAATATCGAAATTACAGAAATAAATTACATGATGTAAGCGTAATTAAATTTTAAAACGAAACGATGACCAGAATTCTGAAATTCTCGACGAGAAACGTATAAATTCTTCGCAGGAAATGCTTCCCTGTCGATTGAACACCATCTCTTGAAGTATCTAAAAAAAAAAAAAAATTATTTAATATATATACACGTGTATCGATAAAAAAGATAAAAAGAAATAAATTAAAAATATTTAATACGCATTATAAAATTCATAGAAAGAATTTGACATTATATTTTTCACACGTCTTGATCTTTTTTTTTTTTTATATTCAAATCTTTATTTAATGATATGTTTTCAAGTATTACGTATTCACAGAAAATTTGAATATTCAGTTACCAGATTTAATTAGCTTCTTTAATGTTCAGCGCAGCGTTGTTCGATGAAATTTCATATGCATCAATCGGCTCTATCGAAATTCCAACGATATATAATTCATCGAGTCATGATCCGAAAATATAACAGTTATAAATATAATTTTCAGAAATTCCATATTGTCATTCACATCATTCACGATACAATCATTAATCTTTTCTTAAATGTGAACGAACAAATTTTCTTTTATCTATTCTTTTTCTTCGTGATATTTGACTATTTCGACTAAACGACTTTGTTTACACGTGGTGTATCGACGAGTTTGAGGTTAAGTCCATATACGCAGAGACTAAGAGGGAATTGGAAAATTTATTGTTTATTAAGCAATGTTGTCCAATGTTTATCGATAATTGATCCGCATTTCGGAACAAATATACACGCGTGTTTCTATTAAAACATTAATATTCCCACAAACTATGCATCGATCACTATGGTGCAGAGTTATTTGATTTTCCAAATTACTTGATTCCACGCTGTTTGACTTTCGCAGAATCGCGTAAAATTACAATTGCTGTAAGCGAAAACTGATAACGAGTTTTAGAAATTCGTTTAGAATTATTTATAATAATTCCCATAGCGGTATACGCGGGATCGCTTATCAATCAATGATTTTAATCATTTCACGAATTACATTATATTACAGATCGCACATTTACAATTCGGATAGAATTATCGATAAATTTAGAATTTAATTCAACTTATTTGCGTGAAAATTAATAATAATTTTTTTTTCCTCTCCGCCCTTCGTTTATACACGGACATAATGGAATCCATCGATCACTTCGAATTGAAAATTAATACTTTCGTAGAATTTTCTCATTTTCGGTTCGGCGAAATTGCGTGTTGATAAATTTTGATAGAAAAAAAAAAATAATAATAAATAAATAAAAAATGAAAAAAAAGGAAGCGATTTAGTGGATTTCCTCTCAATCAACGCCACGTACGTTTAAAATCAATCTTTATCAATCTGACAGATTAATAGAGGCCTGTGGTATTTTTAAGGGATACCGAAGCTTATTTTAAAAGCAAGATCGTAAAATTGAACCTGTAAATTATGCAAATATTATAAATTGTCGATAATCATTAATATTTCACGATTTCTATTTGCGGGAGAGCATGGTACGTAAAAATATTGATAAAAATTGATTTCGCAAATCGAGATGCATCCAGTATTTGGTAGAACGGTTCTAAATATTATGTTTTAATATCACTGTACTATTACATTAATGAAATTCTATAGAAACGATCCCGCTCCTTAATGTTCCTTATGTAAACTTCAAATGGAATTGAACGCTCTTTTAAGTATTTGACGAGTATCCTATGATCCGGAGTATTTCGAAAATTATGAAAGTCTTAAAAGCGTCGGTTGATGGTCTTGAAACATCGGGGCAAGGAAACTTCCCGAATATTAAACTCTCCTCAAAGCGATAAAAGATTTAAAACGATTTATTCGACGAAATATTCGAGAA